TAGCTAAATTTACATAAAACATCAAGATTAACCTAGTGGATTATTTATTATAAAACTATGTCAATGATTATAGAAAAAAAGATTCTATAACCGTTGCTGTATCAACTCCGGCTCTGCTTTGGATTTTTTAAAGCGTCTCAAGTTATGAAAATAATGTTATTGATATGTTTTCATGGAAACAGTATGAAAATTACAATGTATAAGATGTTTTGTATGATTTTGGAGGCTAACGTTAAATAAATTCAAACTGCTTAACTTGTGTTAGATTAACTTAACATAACGTGCACATCACATTGTTTTTTATATTAGGTAAATTAGGTTTTTTATTTACCTATTTTTTTTTTTTTTTTATAATTAGGTTATTACGTTTTTTATTTAGGTAAATTGAGTTATTGTGTTTTGCTAAACCTATGCTTAAATTAAACTAAAGAATATTATCATCAATAACTAAATTGTACGTCGTTGATTTTTGTTCTAAAATCTGTTGTATATGTGTAACTATATTTAATTATCAAATGGTAATACAAAATACTCTTTTAGCGAATTTCCCATATAGGGAATAAGCTATTACCGTAGTACTCATGGTAAGACCTGGACGCGGGACCAATTTTTTTTTTTTCGTTTCGAGGTCCCTAGAGGCCAAAAACACCATCCGTTCAAATTCATATATATATATATATATATTTATATATTTATATATATATATATATGTGTCCGTTAGCACGATAACTCGAGCAAAAATGATCCGATTTTGATGAAATTTGGTACAAACGTGTAAACCTACGTTTATTCGAACGAGTTCGCAATCCAGCATGATCGGACCATGGGAACGGGGGTTTACGGGGGGTTTTATGGGGTAAAAATAGGTTTTTCGCATTTTTGACCCAAAAAACATAAAATTTAGCAATTTCTTTCCAAACCATTATGTCGAGCTTAAAAAAACAAATAATTTAGTATATTGAAGCGTTATTATGCGCCTAATGGTTACGGAGAAAATTCCAAAAAACTGTAAATTTAAAATTCCCATGTTATTCTTATGGAGAATAAGTAAACTGTTGTAGTTTGCTTGTTTATGATCATATTTTAATCAAATTTGGATAATGCATTCATTTCATACTAAGCGATTAACATTTTACAAAAACACCTTTTTACCCTCCCTGTTGCAGCAAACCTAAGTACTCGTTAAACTAATGTTATTTAAATAGGGAATGAATGTGATATTTTTAAGGAGGCATTTTAGTGTAAATCCAATCAGGCAAATGGAAATTCGCTTAGTCTGCAGGTTTGCTGCGGCGGGGGTATTTTTATCTTAACATAGCATAGCTTTCAGTACACATTTACTTTATTTGATACATTTATTATTTGTGTTTTGCCACACCACTGATTAAATTAAACCAAGGAAAATATCATAAAACTCGCCTTAGGCTCGCTGGGGGCTCCGCCCCCAGGCCCCCTTCTTTGGTTGGGGGAGAGTTGGAAATTACCTCGGGAAAAAATCTGTTATTGAGTAAAATATTACAATAATAAGAAGTTAGTAAAATACTATTCAATTGCCACAACTAAATACAGTGTTTCAAGATCTGTTGGGGGGGGGGGGGGTGATTAAATTAATGAGTAAAATTTGAAGTAAGCTAAGGAGAATACAAAGCATTAATAATATTTGCAAAAAAAGAATTATTTAGGTAGATAAATAGCAAAAACCGATGAAAATTTGAAAGAAATTTAACACATTTTTAAAGTAGGGTGTTTTTTAAGGTGAAGGAGTGCGATTTCGGAAAAACGCATAATAGTGTCTTGTAGGAAATTTAATTCCAAACCTAAGATTTCCCTCAAATTGTTTCTAGCTCTTACAGTTTTTGAACGATAGCCATTTGAAAAAAACGTGTTTTCTCGTTTTTCTATGTCCGCCATTTTGGATTTTTTGGGAGGTTTAAATTTGGAAATGGGATTTTTTCAAATTTCACCGATAATTAAAGATCCCATACTACAATACTACCAAATTTCAAGTCTCTAGCACGTTTCTAAACAGATCAGATGAGCAAACCAAAGTCTTAAAATTGCTTAGCTATTCTCCATAAGAATAACATGGGGCTTCGTAATAGTGTTAAAACCTTTCAATTTTCGACATTAAACCTAAGTTTTGAGGGTCAAGGAGTAAAGATACGAAAAAACATTAAATTACTGAAATTTAAGGTAAACTATAGTTAATAAAAAGCATTAATAATATTTGCAAAAATAATTTACTTAAGTTGGGAAAAGTAGCAAACACCGTTAAAATTTGAAAAAGATTTACCAAATTTTGAAAGTAGGGCGTTTTTTGGAGGTGAAGGAGTGCGATTTTCGGAAAACGCCTAAGAGGGTTTTGTAGAAAATTTAATTCCCTTTCGCTAAGATTCTTTCAAATCTTTTCTAGCTCTTACCGTTTTCGAGCTACATCCGTTTAAAAAAAACAAGTGTTTTTTCGTTTTCAGAGGTCCGCCATTTTGGATTTTTGGGGGGGTTAAAATTTGAAAATGGGACTTTCGCAAATTTCACCGTTAATGTAAGATCCCATACTACAATACTACCAAGTTTCAAGTCTCTAGCACGTTTCTAAGTGGTTCGGATGAGCATACCAAATTCGGAATTTTTCAATGTTATTTCTCATAAGAATAACATAGGGGGGGAAATTGTTAATTTAGGGGGGGTTGAAAGTGAAAAATGCGACTTTTCGGAATTTTCCCGGGGGTTTGGGTCCAAGACCCACATGCGTGCCAAATTTCAACTCCCTAGCACGTATAGAAGTGCCCAAACATTAGTATACCTGATCAGTGAGTTACACATCGGGCTGTATAGTTATTTAGATTAGATTAGACTAAGCATTACACAGTGTTCTTTTGTTTCTAAAATCAATGAAATATCTGTTACTATGTTAACTTAATGGTAAGTGTGAAAATGTAAAGGCAGTGGACGATGGAACTGATTAAAAGAACTGGTTTGTACTGTATATTAAGTTGTTTGTTGATATTTTTTATAGAGTAGAATCAGACATGCAATGAAACATATACTGTATTTGCTATTATATTTTTTAGTCCTTGATGCTTTGATAATCATATTAGTTTTGTCTGCTGTCTTTAATGCTGAATTATTTGTTCAAAATTTGTTATAGTACCTATAGATATAGTTTCTTTAATATTTCAAAAGACTGTATTGATAAGGCACAGCAATATTTCTTAAGTTTATAACAGCTGACTTAGTTTTGCTAATGATTTATTGTGAGTGAAGAAACTGAAGATGGATTTGTGTTGTGATCTAAATATATAAAAGGCAAAGCCCTCACTGACTGACTGACTCACTCACTCACTCATCACTAATTCTCCCACTTCCCATTTACCTAGGAGGCTGAAATTTGGTACATTGATTCTTTAGGCATTAAATAGGAAAACTAAGCTGTTTTTATTCTGATCGGACTCTCGGGCTCCGCCCCAGTGGCTCTGGAGTTTCCCATGTTAACCTTCTGAGTTCTCATATTTAAATGGAATTAATGAATCTTAACAGCTGTTTCAATTAAACAAGTTGGTTCTGTTCTATGATGTGCAATAGCATTTAAGTTACAAGGATTACCAACAGGGTGCAGCACTATTATTTCTTTTACATTTATGACAACAGCTAATTTGCAACCAAAAGGTGAGTGAGCGTAGCGAACGAACTTCAACCTAGAGGCGAGTTAGCGTAGCGAACGAGCTAACCTGAAGGCAAGTGAGCGCAGCGAACGAGCTCCAACCTAAAATTGAGTGAGCGTAGCGAACGAACTTCAAGCAGAACGTGATTGAGCCATGGGAACGAGCTCACTTATAAAGTTAAATGGGGCAAAGCCCGCGGATACAGCTAGTTTGATATAAAGAAGAGTGAAATAAAAAAAAGTAGTATTTTTGCAACTTCAAAATTGATATTTAAAATGTCAATAGTAAATTAAAAGATATTTAATTGAGGGAGATGAAGGTAAATCATGTATGTCAAAGTTGTATTCAAAGATTTTGTCAGGTTTTCTCATATCAGCCTACACAAGATTTAAAATTAATCGAAAACAAAATGGTGCTATCCGCTACTTAGCAGATTTAAAAGTTATAACTTTAACTTTTCTATTACCGCCATAAAAGTTGAACTTTGTTTCTAAAAAAGCGTTTGCGGATGTGTAACTATTATATACAACAGATGTAAAGATTAAAATTAAAATGTTTCTATTTTGTGTCCTCTTCCCGTTGCAAAGCACGGGTACAACAGCTAGTTTTTTGGTATAAAATGTAAAGAAGAAAATGGTTTACGTTAGATTTTTCGTTTTTATTGTATGTGTCATTAGTATTATTAATCTTTCTGAAGTTTTCTTGAAGAGATGGCGCACGCAATGAAAATAATAGAGATATGATGAGACATCATATTTTTACCCTTAAAATCTACAATATATCGTAGTACTAATATTGTGAAATTTTGTGAGTTTGTTCGTTTGTTTGATATCCAATCACGCATTAACTACTGGTCGGATCGGGTTGAAATTTGGTATGAAGATAGCTCACATTCCCGATTAAAATATCTAGACAAATTGTTATCCCAAAAACCATTTCGGGCTTTGCCCCAATGGCTCAATAGTTTCCCATGTTAACCTTATGAGTATTTATATTTAAAATGAATTAAAAAGTTTTGTCAGCTTTTTCAACTACACAAGTTGGTTCTACGATATTCAATAGCATTAAAGAGACCACCTCTGTATGTGGTAAGATTAGAAAACGTCAACAAACCGTTTACTTGAATAGACTAGCTCCTCCCCCACACACATCGCTGCTGTAAGCTCCGCCCCCATTTTTTGCCCCTGCTCATTAGGACCTTTGGTCAATCTGTATGTTAGAAACGACCCTTAAACAATTGGCCAATCTGTACGCGCGCCAACTAGCATATTATTCAAAGATTAAATTAAGTAGGCGGTATGAATGATTGCTTAAAATTAAATCTTTTGTTGTTTTTAGGTAACAATCCTGTCATTATCCAGAGCTGCAATCTCAGCTCCATCACTAGATTTGGAAGGCGTGCCAGTATCTGTCAACAGTGGCTTCATCAACAGGGGTGTCCAAGGCTACGGGGGTTTCCAAGGCTACGGGGGTGTCCAGAGCTACGGGGGTGTCCAGGGCTACGGGGGTGTCCATGGCTACGGGTCCCTCCACGGCCATGGCACTCTCCATGGACACCATCACTACCCACCTCAAATCAACAGATATGAAGGGTTATCCAGCATTTACGCACCAGGGAGGCAGATCCCTTATATCCCTTATGTTTACCAAACACCATCCCTAGTCTCCCCTGGGTTTGGAACTCTCTCTAGGACTGGTTATAGAAATCGTATAGTTCCACAAAGACTAGTTTCCCAAAGCTACCAGATGTACAACTCTCCTGATTCCTGTTCAGCTCAATATGAGACTGTTACGCCTATCTCATCCAATTATTATTATAATGTCCCTTTTTTAGAGATTATTGATACCTACAAAATTTACAATAACATTTCTAAAGCAATAATTGAGAAAAAAAAGTCAGATGGATTTTTCTTTGACTCTAGTATGAAAATCGATAATGAAGAAAAGCATGATAGCTTAGAAGAACAAGTAACAAACAATGAAAAGACAGAACCGGTTCTTCAGCTGACTTATCTTGGTTATGTTCCTCAATCATCTTTCAGAGGTGCTTTACAATCAGAGAGAGATCCGGAGCCCAAACAAACTATTCCATTTTACATGCTTGACTATGACGACAATACTCCAGAAACTCCCAGAAGTAGTTCTGGTTATGTTCCTGCGTATGTTTCTCCAGTAAGGTTACACTCTCCAGTAGTTTACCATGGTAGGAGTGTCATGAGGCCTGCTTGGTTATTAGCCTCCAGTATGTCACATGTGTCAGGACTACCAGGATCTGCTTATAGATCCTCAACATTGAATGATCAATCTGGGTACTACTTGATTGATGTGAAGCCTGTGGCAAGTGATGTATTGCATGAGCCTATGCTTGGTGCACCGCGGCCAACTCTCTTTCCGTTGATACAAACATTAACTGGTCCGATTGGAGGTCTGATTGACGGATTGGTACAGCCAATTTCTAGAGGACCCAATACAAACACCCAACCACAAATAGGAAGACAAAATGCAAATCAAGAAAAACTTAGCTATAAACCTGTTTATAAACCTCCATCTGAACACAACACTTCCCAATCTAAAGAAGAATCTCCAGCGGAAAATCATTATGAGAATGAGAATGGACAACAAGAACTCAACAATGAATTTGGCTCACAGTACTTTGGATCCAGAGGTTTGTAACAATGATAAATTAATTCATATATTTTTATAAATTTGTTTATTAAAATTTTCTGTTTTATACCAATTTTATTCTTACAAGAGCCTATTTTAATTGCCCACAGCATTTTGAAGAAGAATAATCAGTAACGTTAATTTCAGATTACAATTTTTAGGTGGAACAAGATAAGTAGATAAAAATCATATAGCCGGCGTCCTTTTGTCAGTTAGTTGCTTTGATGGATTTTCCTTTCTTAATCAGATCAAACACTAAAATGAAGAATAAAATATGACATTCTTCTTAGCAGCAGATTACTTTTGTTTTTTTATTTATTTAAAATCCTCTTCTTCACAATTTGTATTTTCTCCTCTTTTTTAACATCAGGAAGCCAATATGAAAATTATAACTTTATGATTGTGTAAAGTGTAAAGGCGTCCAACTAATTTAATTATTTGGGCCAGTATTTTACATACTCCTTACTATACCACTCCAGCTGTTTATGTCCGTAAGTATTTTTGAGGTATACGATAATACTAGCAGAGTACTCGTCCTTTGGAAAAAAATATTAAAATTATTCAAATAATAAAAATCTAATAATTTTCCTACTATTTAAACAAATGGTAAATAAAAAAAAATTAGCTTATTGTTAATTTTGAAAAACCGGGGACAAAGCCTAGATTAATACAGACAATGGCTATACAATCTTGCTTATATCCTTAATCAATGCCCTTAATCTTCAAATAAATAAACCTGCCACATGGTTTTGCATAATACGAGTATTATATTTTTTATTTGTTTAAGTCAGCTGTGTGGCATTGGAAAATAAATCAGTTTGACAGTTCTGGATGTTTACATTGAGCGGTTTACACTAACAGGTGCAGAAAATGTATTGTTTTGGGAGACCGGTGAGTTTACCTAGTAGACAGCTATTTCCTCTTTTTTCCTCCACCGGTACAAGGTTATAATTTCAAATATAATTTGAATATAATTTCAAAGTAAAGTATTATAAAAGTATTAAAAAGTATTAAAGGTTCATGCATCGGAGAAATTGTACGGTGCATAATAGCCTACACCATCTGCTTCTGATTGGTCAGTTTCTTAAAACACCAGTCAGCAGTTACGGCAAGATGACGGATCCATAGAATAAATGATCAATTGATTATCAGTTTGATGGATTATATTACGTGAATAATATATCAATCATTTATTCTGTAAGGGCAAGTTGGTTCAATTTTAATATTATAAAGTAGGTAAATAGTAGCTTGATGTGTAAATTACAATACGGATGTGCACTATAAACCGGTGACTTACCGTTCTGGGATCCCAAGACTATTGCCCTGTGGTGGTACCGGTGGGTAAGTCACCGGATCATCTGCACCGTTGCACCAACATGATCCCAGAAAGCGCCCATTGAGATATCATAGCAAATGTAAACATTGCGAGTTTCTCATTTCAGCCATGGAGACCAACAAATATTTACTTTTAAGTTCCTCACTTCAGAACTTTGAAAGCCAAAGGGGCAAACCCTCGGTCAGTATTGAAGTGTGAATAGTCCTAAACGGATCCTTGGCATAGTAGCTACATTTTTTTGTAAAACTTAAGTTCAGTTTAATGTTAAGTTTAAGTTAAATTTAGTTCAGTAGTTTTTACATAATTGAGTAGCACACAGACAACAAATAATTTTATGTAATAGTATAGATTTTGCACATAGGATAGAAACTCTTAATATAAACTTTTGTTGATAAAAGCATTGACTATATACCATAAATCACAAATTAATTTTATTTCACAAAAGTAACATGAAAGCCATTCAATAATACAGTAGAACCTTAGTTTGATAATTATAAGGATAATCAAATATAATATACCGTATTCAACCACAATCCTGTATACTCATTTGAAGTCTTATATTTGTTCTAGAATTTCAAGACAACTTGGTAAGACATTTGATTGTAGTCAGGAACAAACCCTAACATATATTTCCTACGTCTATCACAAGTAATAAACAACACCTTTACAAATTTGCAGTGTATTTTTTAGTTGTTTTCCCTTTTTAAATAGCAAATTAATCAAATTATAAATATCATATTTTATACCTATTATCCTACTAATTTAGAAAATAACTAAAATTTTTTTTGTATCAGGCACCTTGGATTTATTATGTTGGAGGCAAATGGGTATTATTATCCCTTTGATAAAAAACATGAAAAGTCAAATGACAAATTTTCAAATTCAGTTACCTTCTCTGTACTTGGTGGTTTGTAAATGTTGTCACTGATTCAGATTTCACCACAAGTTTATCTTCAGAAGTACTTCAGAAGATACAATATACAAACTTAATAAAAGGCAACTGATAAAAAAATACATCTCAATTGTAAAAAGGTCATTAAACCTGGTAAACACTGAAAATCTATATACCGGGTGTCCCTTAATAGTCTCCCACTGGTTAGTTTTTAAACGGCTGCATATATTTAAAAATACACGTTACTAGAGTAATGTAAAATAATTGTTTCGGGTATTTTGAAATTCACCCCCCACCCCAAAATAGGGTTTACTAAGGGTACCTTAAAATTTCTAAATAGCACATCATTTCAAAGGCCATTAGTTAAAAAGAATATCGGCAGAAACTAGAGGTCTCTATCTCAACCCAATATAGAATGGCGGCCATTTGTTACTATTCATGAGCCAGAAAAAGCCCATGTAAAAATATACACCAATATCCCCTATTGGCGTTTTTATAGGTTGTACCAGGGAAAATAAACTCATTATTATTGTACAGTAACAAGAAAGTCAAAACTAATTTTTGATCAGTATGACAATTTTAGCCAGTACCCCAAAATGGGTATTTTGTGGGAAGTTGGAGAGGATTGACACCATCAGTTTGAGGGTGGGAAAGGTTGAAGTCCAAACTGCTTGTGCTGCCAAGTACCTTGGGGTAATGGTGGAAAGCAAGCCCAGCTGGCGAGGCCAGATCATCTGTGCGGCAGACAAGGCCGCTAAGGTGGTTTCTTCCCTTAGCCGGTTAATGGCCAATGTCGGAGGGCCGTGGTCCAGCCGCAGAAGGCTCTTGATGTCTGCAGTCCAGTCTGTACTCTTGTACGGTGCATAAGTGTGGGCAGATGCACTCAATAAGGAGGTGTACAGGATACAGCTCGCCCGAGTGCAGCGTTAGGCAGCACTCATCGTAGCATCCGCCTACAGTGTCAAAACCCGACGTCCTGGTTATTGCTGGATTCATACCTGTCAATCTTTTGGCGGCAGAGAGGAAGGCAATATATCAGCGGCTTGGAGAGGACCAGGCAAGAAGCAAGGAGGGCCCCCACACCTACCGGCTCTGGCAGGAGAGCTGGTACAGGAGACGCGGGGACGCTGGACCAGGCGACTGTTACAGCAAGTCTAACCGTGGGAAAATTGGTGGCACGGCGAGGTAGATTTTTACCTCACCCAATTTCTGACAGGTTATAGATTTTTCCAAACGTACCTGTTCAGGATGGGCAAAGCTGTGTCACCCGATGGTATCTTCTGCCCAGGCACTCCCGACGACACGTAACACACTTTTTTCCGCTGTCCACGTTGGGAAAGGCCCCGCCTGGAGGTTCAATACAACGTAGGACTGCTGTTGGTGGACACGGTCATCCCTATGATGGCGGAGGGTGAGGAGAATCGGACCTGAGTGTCACATTTCGTCCAGGGCATTCTCCGCGCCAAGAAGATCGATTTGATCGAGATGCAGTCTAGGGTATAAAATAACGGAATGCTGGAAATAGTGGGAGTCCTAGGGCTTAGGTCACATGTTGGCCTGACTTTATGAAATGTGACAAACAATACCAGGTCTGTGTCCAACAGAGTAGAGGGGTTTTTTTAGTGAGTAGTTTGATCCTCTCAGGAGTCTCACACTACAGGTTGGCCACCTGTGTGCGTATTCAGTTATTAAATATATTCAGTAATTTGATCAGCTGAAACATGAGAATTTAATTAATCAAAACAAATGAATATCTATTTCTCAAATCTGAGTGATTTTTTATTTCTTTATTTATGATATGGCCTTCATTTTGACATACCTACCAACTATGCTATATTTAAGAATTCCATCTTCAAATATCACCTCTTATCGTTTCTTTACTACAGGTTTTAATGAATGGTTATGTTGTGTTGATTTTTTTACCGATAGGAAACTGTTTAGGCTATATAAGTTTTGATTCGGTTCTTTACCAAGGGAGGTAGAACGCTCTGTTGTATGCATTGGAGTTTTTTTGTTTTTTGTTTTTTTTACTCAAGCCCTTAAGGTTTGTTACCTCATAAAACCCATGCTAAAAAGAGCTCTATTTATCATGCTGATGAGAAACCTAAGTATGGTCCAAGATTGATTGTATTGGTTGTATCCTCACTTGGGCACCTACACTATCAAAGCGAAGTTGGCTGACTTCGGTCAAACTTGAAAATATCATGCTACGCAATAGTCTGTAATCTTTTCAAACTGACTAAGAAGGAATTTCCCTTAAAAGTTACCTTTGCCATGACTTTAAATAAGGCATATAAACAGACAGTTGTTATGGCTTTGTAAAGTGTGTGCTTTTTCAGTGAAAACTATGCCTGGGTAAAAACAAATCCACCAAAACAAAAATCTTTTATGGCCCTATTACAAATTGCTTGGGCCTGTTCTGTTCAATTTGTACACGGCAGACCTTCCTAGCTGTGTACAACATTGTACAGTTCATTTGTATGCCGATGACTCACAGCTGCACTTGTCTTATGAGCCATCCCAGATGCGAGCTTCACTCAATTTCATAAACTCTGATCTAGAAAAAATCCTATGGTGGTCAGGGGCTGAAACTCAATACTGGCAAGTGTACTGTGATGCATACGGCGCCACGTGACTTGGTGCAGTCCCTCAGCGAGACAGGAGTGAGTGTTGTGCTCAACGGTGAGTCCTTGACCTTGTGTGAAAAGTCAAAGACTCTTGGCGTTGTGCTTGATAACAGCCTCACCTTCTCTGACCATGTCACACATGCTTCGCAGCGCGCGTTAGGTAGGCCGAGAGGGCTGTACAGGTTCAGAAGTCTGCTGCCAGAATCTGCAAAGCTACGCCTCATGCAGTCACTGGTTCTGTCGGTGTTTGCATATTTTCTCCCTGCTTATGGAAACAGCATCTCTGGAGAAGACATGTACCGAATGTCTGCAAAAACTGCAAAATTCTGCAATTCGTTTCATTTTTGGGCTCAAAAGATTTGAACATGTCTCTCCATTTAGAGCTGTAGCGGGGATGTCAACGGTAGACACTGTTTGCAGGATTATGACGTGCTGCATGGTGCACAAGGCTCTTGTCCTACAGGAGCCACAGTACATTCTTGAGAGTCTCTCTTTCCGGGAGGAGGTCTCTCAGCGCAGTACCCGCCATGGAGGTCTCCATCTTCACTTTCCAAGAGTGAGGCTTAAGTTTGGAACGAGAAGCTCCTCGTACTTCGGCCCAAAGCTGTACAACGACCTCCCCTCTGGCCTCAAAAAATATACCTTGCCATCTTTTAGAGCCAAAATTAAGGAATTGTACTGTTATGATTAGTTGTTGTTTAGATTGTCTTGTTTCTGTTTTGTTATTGTTTCTATTTGTTTGTTAGTTATTGTTAGTTATAAGTCATTGTTACTTATAATATGACGAGAGTTGTTCTGAAAAGCAGTTGTACTGAGAAACGCTTGATCAATAAAGGCATTTTTATTTATTTACTGATAAAATGATAATTTCCTGAGATGTTAAGAATTGATATAGCCAAGAATTTAAAAATCTTATTTTCACTTTCTCCCCTATACCACCCTCTGTTCTGTTTTGTATATTAGTGCAGTAAAAATAAGAGAAAAATTCCATAAACCTAAAAAAAATTAGCACAACCGGGGAATTTGGTACAGATGTTGGGTGTACCTTCCTTTTGAACATACTAAAAGTCCCCTAAAATTGAAGCTGTGCTACGGCCGCCATATTGGAAAATGGCGGCATATTTCTGTATTTTTTGCTATAGTGACTTTATTATTAGAGATACAGGAAAAAGCTAAATGTACAAAATGTAGGTCATCTAAAAATACACATTTTTTTGTATTTACCATCTTTCTCTAAACCCAACGGTTTTTGAGTTTTTTGTTTATTAAGTATATTTAGTTTTTTCTATTTATCAAAAATAGGTGAAACACATGGAAATTGACCGTTACTTTCAAGTATTATGATAATTTATCCCATTTAGTTAAATAGTGTGATACTATAAAATCTTAAAATTTAAGCTTATTTTATGAGTAAAACAACTCTGTCACAGCAAACCTGCAGACTCAGCAAATTTCCATTTGATTGGATGTTTTATTAAAAAAATGTATATAAATAAAATTAGGTTCAACAGGTACCTAGGTTTGCTGCTACACGTAGGTTATTATAGTGTGTTTTTTTTAGTAAAATATCAATACCTCACTATAAAATAACTAATTTTCCAAGTTTTATCAAAATATATCTATAAACAAGCAAACTGCAACAGTTAACTAATTCATAAGAATACCATGGGAGTTTTAAATTTACAATTTACAAATTTGAATGTACAAATTTTGGTTGTGTTTACTAAAAAGATGGCGATTATTCGTCACGATTAGAATATTAACCAAATGGGTTTTCAAAAGGAGATGGAGCCTGTTAAATATTAATTCGTACCAAGCATCGAAAATATTGTATGCAGTGAGATAATCTACCATATTTTGTAAAGTACGCAATAGTCATATTTATATTGTATCCTCATATTTTACCCATTTAATAGTTAACATTTTAGTATTTTGATGGCACTAACCATACTTGACATCCAATTTTAAATTTGGAAGGCTGTTTTTCGTGTCTAGTTCATGTTGGTGACTAATTAAGTATGGTATAGTATAGTTTTATTTATCAAAAATCGGTGAAACCCATCGCAATCGACGGTTACTTTCAAGGTTTACGACAATTATTCATCCCACTTAGTTGATATGAGAGTGATAGTGCCATCGAA